AGGGGGAGTAGAGGGTCAGCTGAGAGCAAAAGAGGCTGTGAAAATGCAGGGCTGTGGGACTGAGGGATCTGGGGAGCTGAGAAGAGCAAAGAGCCTGTGGGAGGAGGTCAGGTGGAGCTGTGAGAGAGTGGCCTATGGCTGGGCCCACCGTTGTGGCCACAGGCCGTATCTAATTAGATGGCCCAGGACAAAATATGGCACTGTCCTGGCTCAGTCTCTCATCATCTTACATGGATGCCATTGCCACCACCCAAGTGGCCCCATCTCCAGGCTATCACCCCTAGCACTCCCCTTCAGAGTCATCAGAAATGAAAGAAAATATGAATGAATTAGTGAAAGAATGAAGCCAAAAAGTGAATCATGCTGGATAATGTGGAAAAACAGACCATTGTCTACTTTTCAGTTTACAGAGAAAAGTTAAATTTTAATCTGTTGACTTTTAAGAGGGATGGATTGGGGATGGATTTTCAGACTTAGCACTGCATACTGATACCTGCCTTCTTCTAAAGTAGGACAAGTAGATCTCAGAATGTGCACCTTCCCCACTTCTATGCTGTTCCCATGGCAGACATCACTAATCGATTGTTGCATTCTTTTCCATGGACCCAGGGCTCAGCTTCTAAGTCCTTCTCAACATGGTGCTCCAGAGAGCCAGAGCTAATTCATCAGCGTGGCCCAGGAGATGCAAACCATGTCCCTGTTAGGCACCTCCACCCTGGACTGCAGTGTGGAAGGCAAAGCAATGCCCCATTCACACATGAGCAAGTGGCAGGGCCACTGCTGGAGGCCCAGCCTGGAGCCCTAGAGCCATTCAAAAGGCCTCTTCTACAGGGGGACTTCCACATCTTCCAAGTAGGCCACGTCATCGAGCATAGGCCCCTTTTTAATGTCATTATCAGAAGGGACTGGGCTGTAACTCCACTCACCTGGGGAGTAGAGCCACTAATGCCATGCCCCTTCCCCATAGGCATAGTGAATCCTATGAGAGAATTTCCCCTGGAGTGCCCCAGGAAGGGACCATAAGGAGCGGGGAGCAGGGATAGCAGGCTCACAACAGGCACGTCCTGAAGCCCGCATGGCTGGCCCTCAGTCTCCCACCCATGGTCCCACTAGCCTTTCAGCTCAGAGCACTGTGATTGCTTAACCTGCCACCACTGTTTCCCTTTCTCTCTCTCCCACCTCACAGCTGGGACACAGCCGGTCAGGAGAAGTTCAAGTGCATTGCATCTGCCTACTACCGGGGTGCCCAGGGTGAGCAGCCATGCAGTGGCGGGTTCTCAGCCCCATGCTCAACAGTGGGAAGCCCAGGTCCTCTGTGCAGGCACCAGTTTTCTGTCCTCCAAGAGCCACTTAGAAAACCTCCAAGCCAGTGCTTCAGAACAGGGAAGCTGCCTTCAAGCCAGGGCCCTGGCTGCCTTTGGCAATCATACCCTTTAGCATCTGTGGTGTTGGGTTCTGGCTTTAAGTCTACGCCCCCATTTTTAGCTAGAATGATGCTCAGAGAGGGAAGTGCTTGTCCAGAGGCCCCAGAAAAGAAGGGCAGCATCAGACTCCAGGAGGAGGTCGGGAGAGGCTTGTCCTGTCTTAGCAAGAGGGGGCAAGGCCAATGATGAGGAGTGAAAGGTGGACCGCAGGAGGACTGGCAGGTCCCAGGTGGGGGCCAGCAGGGCTCAGTGCCATCCGCCTTCATGGCCAAGGATGGCTGGGGCCCTGGGAGGATGCACAGTCAGCAGGAGGCAGCAGCATAAGCCCCCCTGCTGACCCCACCTTCCCAGGAAGAAGACAGATTTGGATTTCAGTGGGAGACATGAAAGAGCTGTCAAAAGTATCCAAAACCAGACTCAAATTATGAGGCGCAGTTATGTCTGCTCAGTAGTGGTGAGGAAATCACAATAGTTTCATTAAGATTTGATAGAAGCAAAAACAGAAAACAACCACAGGTGCCTCGGTCATGGGTTGGAGCTCCAGCTCTGCCACGGCTGCTGTGGCCTCCTGCACCCTTCACCTCTCTGGGCCTCTCTCTTCTCGAGGGGATGCCAC